TCTCCTTTTCTGTCTTACTTCTCCATTCCTCTGCTGCTGTTTTTCCTGGAATCACCTCCCATATGAGCTGCTTGCACTGAGGGTGGTCTTAGGGTCAGCTCTTGGAGGGACCAAAACTGAGACAATGGTTATATCAAAAGTCTGAGGAATGGAGTCCCAGAGCTGCCTGAGCTATGTTCAGTGTTTGTGGAGAGATTAATTGCTTCTGAGGGGAACTCGAGAGTAGGGCTGAGAACATGAGAGGGTGAGAGGAGAGTGGGGCTGACGTATGGGACAAGGAAAGAAGGGATTTATTCAAGAAATTGGTTCTGCTGGAAGCTCAGGAACACGGAGCAGCAGCAGCAACTGTGCAGAAGAGAAATGCATGGAAGGATGGGAAGCCTGCCACTAAATCAGTGCCTCCTGGGAAATCGTGAAATCTGATTGAAACAGACATCCATACAGCTCTTTTTGTGCTATGCTCTTTTCTTTTGGGGAATTTGCATATTCCCTGATTAAAAAGATAGACATAAAGTGTCTTGAAAAATATTAAGAAGTAAGCCATTGTACAAAGCCTTTTGTTTTGAATAGTAAGAACCCTATTTTCTCATTTCCTTTGGAAATCTAATTGAATATTCCTTATGAAAAATGGCTTGAGGATAAGCACTTAAAATACATTGCTTCTAGCTATGCTCCTGTTTTCTTGTGATTATTTACCTACATGGAAATCACATAGATCATGATGATGGCCCTATGACTTACCAAGTGGAAGGGTATTAAGGCTATTTTCATTCACTATATTGAATGTGCTATCATTTTTCCTGTAAAAGAAATTATTTAGACCCAGATAATTACCCAAAATTCACTAGATCTTTTGACATAAAAGTGGTAAAAATCTTTTAAGAATAGGTGATATGGGACGCCTGGGTGGCTCAGTTAAGTGTCTGACTCTTGATTTCAGCTCAGGTCATGATCTCAGGGTCCTGAGATTGAGCCCCGCATGGAGCTCTCCGCTCAGTGGGGAATACGCCTGAGATTCTCTCTCTCACTCCCCCCAGCTCTCTCTCACTTGCGCACACACCTCTCTCAAATAAATAAATAAAATCTTAAAGGAGAAAAAAGAATAGGTGATGTAGAAAGACCAAGAGTAGAGTAAATTCAACAAGAATCAATTGCTATGAGATTTATGAGAAGTGAATAAAGTTTCATTATCAAGCAAGTTCATAGTCAGACGTGAGCCTCGTGTTTAATGAGGCTACCAGAATCTCTCAAAAGAAGGATTGACATCTGAGGGGTGAGGAAGCTGGGGTATTTATACACTAACTTCCAGCAGCCACATGGCCATTTATTGTTAATCCCCAGCATCTCCAGCCTTTTGTGTGGAGGTGGCAACGTAGGTTCCAACAGCAGGTGTTTGCAGCTGACCCCAGTTTGTCTAGCTTGGTGTTCCTTGTCTTTTCTGCTGTGGGGAGGAGCAGACCCCAAAGACTTTATTTGTGCAATGACTGGGACATGTTAGAATGGGCTCTGGCTTGAAGAGAAGCAAAGAGGAGGCAATGAAAGGCAAGAATGGGGTGCTCAGAGTTACTGAGTCCATCCCCCTGCACTACCCACCCCCCTGGTCCTGAGCAAGGCCTCTGCTCAGGATCATACTCACACAGTCTGGGAATAGTCAGAGTGTCCAGCTAGGATGTGCTCCAGCTAACACATGGTGCAGGAGAAACTTGAACCCAGGACTATCTGGACCAAATCTTGCCCTTTCTTCTCCATAGTACAAAAGATAGAGAGAAAGCTGTAAAAATCCCACTCAAGATAGACTCGGTGACAATGTGCTTAACCCCAAAGCACTGATGAGGGTGTGCTCCATGGGTGGGGCAGCAATGCCCCATGGGGACAATATGGAGGAGAGGGAAAGGGGAGGGCACACCCCAAGGGGTCACTCTATGAAGGATAGAGGGAGACGTAGGGGGGACATGAGGAGAAGGAGTGCTTGGCTACTGGCCTTGGTTCTAATGCTGTCTGGACATGATTTTCCACACAGGTGATGATCCAGCAGTGACAGGTGCACAACAGATCTGGCCAACCCCTCAGGACTCCTGCATTCACCCACCAGCTCTTTCTCAACTTCATAACTTTCTTTGTTCACACCGTCCCACTGCCCAGAGCATCCTTCCCATGCTCTCCACCTGGCCGGCTCCTAACTCCATTACCTAGCTCAGGCATCTCCTTCTTCTAGAAGCCTCCCCAAACCTCAGGCCTGGACTCTGTGCTCCCATGTCTTCCATATTAGCCTGGAGTACCAATAAGCATTAAGTGGACATTGTATCTTTTAATGTCTGTCACCTCTTATAAGTTGTGAGCCCCTTTAGGCAGACACAGTGTCCCTTCCATTCTTTTAGGCAGTTTCCACTTACTCTTTGCTCAGTAGAAGAAAATTGTTCTTCCAAATGCTGCTCTTTTCTGTCATTTTCTTAAACAACACAGTTAACAATGCTCATGATATCAGTAGGCATTGATAGAAGGATCTGGGCAGAACACTTCACTCACAGCCTGCTTCTTTTACCCATCTCTCAGACTGGGAGATTGCCATGAAATGTTGCCCTGAAACGTTTGACAGTCACTGTGACTCCCCAGCTGCTGTCCAACTTGCACTGACTTTGGTCTGGCACTTCACAGTTACACAAGGCAGATGACTGAGGCCCTAAGGGGGACATTCAGGCATCCACATTTTTTAAATCTTCTCAGATCATTATGATGGGCAGCCATGGGTGGGTACCGTTACCTCAATCTAGTCCCCTTGGTCTGCCCAGTACTGTCTGTCAGACTGTGAAGTGAGACTGTTTTTCTTTGCTGAAGGACCTGGACCATTTCAGAAGGGAACTACAATGTTCTTAATGTTCCACATGCCCTGATGGTGAATATTCTGCCTCAGTCCCCATCAGATATGACATCTGCTTTCGCCTCCTGAGGCAAGGGTGATGAACCCTAATCCAATGTGGGTGGACAGACAGCCCCAGGACTTCTTTATTGAGAAGGATGGTGCAGGGTATACCCCTGTTCCCCTGCAGTGTGGGAGGTCAAGGGCGCCACAGTGTCACGGAGCTCCATGCAGAAACTGGGCTATGCTTCGATTCTGACAAAAGGAAACCCTGAGTTACAGATTTTCCTCCTCACTTTTTATTCTCTACTTTTTGGTGAGCATTACTGCACAGGGTGCCATTAAAATAGCTGAATTTGGGGGGCCTGGGTAGCTCAGTTAAACATTTGCCTTCAGCTCAGGTCATGACCCCAGGGTTCTGGGATCGAGCCCTGAGTAGGGTTCCCTGCTCAGCAGGGAGCCTGCTTGTTTCTCCCTCTCCCATTGCCCCCCCACCCCCAGCTCATGCTCTCTCTCTCTCTCTCACTCTCAAAAAAAATCTTTAAAAAAATAAAATAAAATAGCTGAATTTAGTTCTCTATCTCTGATAAAAAAAATTTTTAACTGGTATGAGTTTTTAGGCTCCTTGGGGCTCCCTGTAAGCTCACAGGACTGTCCTTCTCTCTTAAGCATTCCCGATTACAAGTCTTACTGCATTACATAGCAAATAACTGCGTGATCACCCCTGTGACTTCTAAAATGAATACAGTCTACAGAATGGAAAACCCTGCCAGATGTCTGAAAATAAATTCTGTAAGCTTCTGGGTTCTCTGTCATGTCCTCTCATGTGGCTGCAGCAAAATGGTCAGATAAGCTTAGAAATGACCAATCTCTGCTTCCCTTGGGCTTTGAAAAGAAACGTGGGCTTTCAAATCACACAGACCTGGGGGTCAGGCTGGGTCTTGCCATTTACCACACGCAGAAGAAGGGCTTCCTTTAGCCCTTTTAAAAAGTCTGTAGGAAATGTGGTCTTACTGGTTCCCTTGGGTTTGCCCTTTGGGAGTGCCAACCTTAGCACAAGGGGGTCCCATCCATCAGCCGGGGTGGGACCATCTTCCTCTAGTCATGGACTATGTGCTGGACTCTGCTGAGTCATGGCCCACTCTCCATTGCACAGAATGGAGAGACACTCCTCCCTGCAGGCGCCTCAGAAGAGAGGGGGTCAAACAAGCCTCCTGTCCTTCCTGCCTCGTGGTTCTCAAACTTGGCTGCACGTTGGAACCACCTGGAGACTTTCAAAACATCCTGATCCCAGGTCCCATCCCAGATCAATTCAATTCCGGGGATGAACATCAGGCATCAGGACTTTTTGTAAGCTGCTCATGTCATTTCGGGCTGCAGAGCTTAAGTGCCTCTCTTTAGATCTAGTTTCTTTGCTCTTCTCAAAATTCTTGATCAGATTGTGCAGGTAAGACTTTTTCTTTACTAAGTATTGAGACCACTTCAGAAGAGAATTGCAATATGATAAAAGAAAGATTAAACTTCTTGTTAATTTGTACTTCACCTGAGTCTCTCAGGAAGGCACTTGAAGACCCATCATGAAGAAGAGGTCTCCAATTCCTGACCTTACCACTCTAGCAGTCATGGTCAAAGGACATCCTTACTAGAGCTCTCCATCCAAAAGTGTATGTGCTGCTCTAGGAGAAAACCCACTCCCATTCACAGGGTGGCTCCCATGTCCTGGACCCATCCTGACAGCCTCCATACTTCTTCCTCCCCTAGTTATTCTCAAGTAGCTCCTCTGGTGCTCCATCCGGGGACAGTGGTGTATCTGTGGGACATACATCTTACAGCAAAAGAGAAGATCCGTGTCCCATTGTCTTTCAACTTATGTGAACTATATAGGTGTGCTGGTCTCTATGACCAAAGGATCCATTACAATCAGTCAGTGATACCCCAAATAGGAGATGTAGTATTTGGAGGATTGTCTAATCTAATAGTAAGATAGCAATCCCAATAGTTGTGAGATGTCTTTTATGCTTTATCTGGGTACACCTACCAGGACTTGTTGAATGCTTACATTTCCCCGGGGTGGGCATGGGCAGCTCTTTTCACATCACCAGATTAAAAAAAAAAAATTGTAATAGAATTTATTTTTTAGGGGTACCTGGGTGGCTCGGTCGGTTAAGCGTCTGATTCTTGATCTCAGCTCAAGTCCTGATCTCAGGGTCATGAGTTCGGCCCCAGCATGGAGCCTACTTAAAAAAAAAAAAAGAATTTATCTTTTAGAGCATTTTTAGGTTTACAGAAAAATTGCACAGAAAGTACAGTTTGCAAATACCCCCTTTCCTCCCACACAGTTTCCCACTATTATTAACATCTCCCATTTGTGTGGTATACCTGTTACAACTAATGAACTAATGTTGATGTGTTATTATTAACTGAAGTCCATAGTTTACATTAGGGATTACTGTGTTGTACATCCTATGGGTTTGGACAAATGTGTAAGGACACATATCCCTCATTACAGTATCGTAAGGAAGAGTTTCACTGCCCTAAAAATGCCACCTATTTCATCTACTCCTCCCTCCCCTTGTACCTCTGGTAACCACGGATCTTTTTTACTGTCTCCTATAGTTTTGTCTCTTCCAGAATGTCCTATAGTGGGAATCATACTGTGTGTAGCCTTTTCCTACTGGTTTCACCTAGCCATATACATTTAAGCTTTCTGTGTCCTTTCATAGCCTGATATCTCATTTCTTTTCATTGCTGAGTAATATTCCATTATTATCACAGTGTGTATATCCATTCGCCTGTGGAAAGACATCATGGTTTCCTCTCAGTGTTTGGTAATTATGAATAAAGCTTCTTAAAACATTTGTGGGCAGGTTTTTGTATGACATAGCTTTCCATTCAGTTGGGTAGATACCTATAAGCACAATTGCTGGATCATATGATAAGACTGTGGTCTGCTTTGTAAGAAACTGCCAAACTATCTTCCAAAGTGGCCATACCCTTTTTCATTCCTACAAGCAATGAATGAAAGTCCCTGTTGGTCTACATCCTCACCAGCATGGGGTGTGGCCAGTGTTCAAGATATTCACCATTCTAACTGGTGTTTAGTGCTATCTCATTGTTGTTTTAACTTGCATTTTCCTAATGACTTATGATGTGGAGCATCTTATTATATGCTTGCTCACCATCCATGACTCTTCTTTGGTGAGGTGTCTGGTCAGGTCTTTGCCCATTTTTAAATTTAGTTGTTTGCCTTCTCTTGTTGTGTTTTAAGAGTTCTTTGCATATTTTGGATACATATAGTTTGCCTTCTCATTCTCTTAATGTGTCTTTAACAGAGCCGTTCTTAATTTCAGTGAAGTCGAGCCTAACAGTCCTTTTTTTCATGAATTGTGCTTCTGGTGTCATATCTTAAAAAGTTATCGCCAGCTCAGTCCTTTATAACTTTCATAGTTTTGTGTTTTACATGTAGGCCCATGATCCAGTTTGAGTTAAGTTTTGTAAAAAGTATAAACTCTGTGCCCCAGATTCATTTTTTTGCATGTGGATGCCCAGTTGTTCCAGCACCATTTGTTGAAAATAGTATTTTTTTCTCCATTGAATTGCCTTTGCTTTTTATCAAACGTCAGTTGACTACCATGGTGTGGGTCTATTTCTGGGCTATGCTGAACCCCCTTTCCCTGCCGTGTAAGGAAAAGACAGTTTGGCGAGATTCTGTATCTTTTTACCAATTTTTGTTTTATAAAAGTCTCATCTCAGTAGATACTTAATTCTGTTCTTGTTTCCTTGCTTGTTTTAAAGTCCCTCTCTTTTCCACTTCACTGGGTTTAAGGCCTTGGGGAAGAAGTGAGTTTATTTGATATCTGTTTCCTCATCTACGGAATAAGTATGATTATTCAGGCCTCGTAGGGTTATTCTGGGGAATAAATGACATAATATATCTAAAGTTCCTGCGAAAGAGATGCTGGATAAACAGCAGTGATTCTAATTCCCATTATGAGAGAGAATGAGTCATGCCACATTCTAGTCATAGTGACACCTCATTTTACATTGAACTTGGGGATAGAATGCCATGTATGGAATCACATCACAATACCCAACATATATTAGATTCTCAATGGACATTTATTAGATTTAAGTCGAACTGCAGCAAAACATTTAATCAGGTAGTTCGTGTCCCTTCAGAATGCCCAGTGATGCCTTGCATTCATCAAACTTGGTTAGCCTTGTCAGGGACAATGAATGCTTTTGTTGGGCTAATAAATAACATTAGCAAGAGCTGGGTGAAGATTTTACACTACTCCTGAATCTCTGGTCCCCTTGCCACCAAGTGGGCTGTTCCAAATTGAAAGTCGAAGCCACGAAGCCACTTTCCAGCTCTAGGCATATTCCTTGAATTCACTCCCAGGAACCACACCCTATGTCCTTCAGCACATGTCTCTGATTCTACCTTTTCTTTAGTTTCTTATTTCAGTTCCCATGGAGTGTTTTTTTTTTTTTTTAAGATTTTATTTATTTGAGAGAGAGAGTGAGTGAGAGAGAGAGAGTAGGAGCAGGGGGAAGGGCAAAGAGAGAGGGAGAAGCAGATTCCCCGCTGAGTAGGAAGCCCGATGCGGGGCTGGATCCCAGGACGCTGGGATCATGACCTGAGCTGAAGGCAGATGCTTAACCCACTGAACCACCCAGGCGCCCCTCCTATGGAGTGTTTTTAAGCACCCTCTTCTCTAAGTCTTTCCTGCTTTCTCCTGCACTCTCCCTCACAGTGAAGCTTCTTATAGTATAAGGAGCTAGCATCTCTCTGTGGCTGCTTATGGGGAACTCGGGGAAGTCATAGGAAGTGATGGTCAAGGACAGAGTTCTGGGGTCTGACTGTCCCCATCTCCATCCCAGCTCTGCCACATACTGGCTGCATGACCTTGGGCACTTGAGTTGACTTCTCTGGGTCTCTGCATCTTCATTTGCAAATCGAAGATGATAGTCATTGTGCCTTTTCCATAGGATCGGCGGCACATTGAAAGTATTTCACGGGAGTAAATTGCTTGGTGTAGTTCCTCTCTTACGTCAAGATCTTAGCAACCATTACTGTCATTAAGCAAAACAAGGAAAGGGCCTCTGTGTGACATTGTGACACTTTCAGACTATGCCCACACAAGTGTCAACATTATTCGTACATACTGGACAGACAAAATATTTGATGAAAATGTAACATTTTTAGCTGGAAGGGATTAGAAGATCAAGGTGTCTGATGCTTCCGTTTTGGAAGAAAGCACAGGCGAGATGTTGGGGCCATGCAAGGTCACACAGGGCTAGGATGCCAACTCAGGCTCTCCCAGCACAGCTAGCCTACATCCCACCCCAGGACAGCCGGGGTTCCTCACCCATCACTGCTCAAACCCCTGTCAAGTCCAAGGCACAAGTATTCCCCGTCTCCCCTCTGATTCTAACCACTTCAGACTCACCCCAATGCCATGGTGTTGTATTGTTTACTCGCTTACGGTGTTGACTTCATCCCCTAGAATGTTCTCTGGGACAAAGACTATTTCTCCTTCCTCATTCCTCTGTATCACTAGCCCAGTACAGGCATAAGGAAAAGTTACACAAATGGCACCATACCCACAAATTGTTTAAAACTTGACAGGTGTGGTGGGGGTAAGACAAGAATCTACGAACCCAACAAGTGACTCAAATAACCATAACCCGGTGCCATTCAGGAGATGTCGACAGAGCGCCCGAGTTCCAGGGAGGCCTTAGCTGTCCTACAAATTGTGGCTCTCGTTCTCTCTTTGGTGTTTCTGCACGGACACTGAGCCCTTGGGAATTGCTGTCTTTGTCACCTCTGGATGTAGCGGAAACAGGAAACAAGTGGCAACTGGCTAAGCCCTCAGCTGTCAGGTGGCTAAGCAGCTGCCGCAGGCGAGGCTGGCCAGGAAGCACCTGTGCCTGGCAGGGAGAGAGGGGGCGCGGGCCCCTCAGGAATGCTGTGTACTGAGGTGGACTTCTCCTTGCTGGCATCTTCTCATTGTCTACAGATAAATATGACACTGCTTGTTGCTGATCCTCTTGGTGGCCATTTTGGGGGGGAGGGGGCTAGTGCCATCTCAGTTAACCATCCAGGCTAGGGAGTGAGGTCTTCTGGTAACAACACCCCTCAGTAACTGAGGGAGTGTGCACGTGTGCAGAGGCCCCGTGTCAGCAAGCCTGCCCCCTCACACAGGCACACCCGTTCTGGTTCATGCTTCCATCTCTTACTCACTTCACTTTCCCAACTGCCATCTCTCCAGTCTTCTGATCAGAGGAAACCATTGCAACATCATCAACATATTTTTGAAGGCCTCATAAGAGAACAATTTAGTTTACCTGTGGTGACTCTGAGGCAACAGAATCTTCTTGAGAGAAACCAATGTCACTTCTCAGCAAATCAGAAGAGAACAGAATCCTAGAGGAAAAACATTGATTAGAAACTAAGCAATTGCCCTAATTCTGGAAAACAATGGGGGAATTGTTAGCATAATGGGCGGTTAAAATGTAAATGTCAAGTTGCCTACTAATCCCTTTGGCTATCCTGGTTGAATAAACAAAGCGGAAAAGGTAAAATTATTTTTCCTTTTGAAATCCGAGCTTGAAAGTTAGCCAGCAGAAAACCCCGGAAACCATAGAGAAATGTGCTGAGTATTTGGTTTATCAACCAAATTTGCTGTCCAAAACAGAGATTGGACCATATCTACACGAACTTCAGAAGCCGTTTACTTTTCTCTGTAGTATGTACATAAAAAGCTTTTTATGGTGCCATTTTTGGAGGGCTCTGGCTTTCCCAAGCTTGCGCTCTGGGCAAGAAGTTAGGTCCTGGTGGTGTAGATCAACTCAAGAATGTTCATATGCCGCCTATTCAGGCATGGGGCAAGTTACCAAACTATTTTTGCCATACTGTAGCAAATTCCAAATGGTCCTGTGGTTCAATCTTTGGATATATCTGTTCTTTCAACTTCTTGTTTCTTTTGGATTCTCTAAAGAACTAATAATAGGCACAAATTAAGTACTTACTCACTTTGCAGGCAGCCAAGAGATCCAGGTACCCAGATTTTAGCACACCACATTTACAAAGCATTGCACATTTTCATGCTAGCTTGTATTTCAGAAATGATTTGTTAATAGGGAGACAAGATCCTGGCCAAATCAAACTACCATGTTATGACTTAATATATCCCAAATCTTTTTTTTAACTACGGTTCTGGTATTTCAAGAATAAATCTTGATCTCAGGAAATTTATAGCCACTTCGGAGATTTCAGAGAACAGGATCATGTAGATGAAGTGTAGGCAAGGATTGCAAACCCAGCCACCTGGCCCAGTCTCTCCGGGACGCTGGAGGGAAGGCCTGTGGCTGTGAGCACCTGGCGACGGTCATACTGCCCTTCTCAACTGCCACCCAAACCAAGGAAGTTTCTTTCATGTCCAAACTTCAGCTGGGAAATGGTATAAGCAGCTCCTAGTGATTTCTCCCTCCATTTTATACATTATGCTATTATTCAGTTTTTCAAAATTCCTTAGTAACTTCAATCAATATCTAATTATTTTTTTTTATATAAGCTGGAACAGGAAATGTGATGGGCTAAAAAAGAACTAATGAATGCTTTTGTCGTTGTTATTGTTGTGTTTGCCTTCAGAGAGGGTTGTGCTGGGGTTGCAGACAGGTGAGGGCATTTGCCCAGTCTTTCCAGGCCTGCTTTCTAGGGCCTTCTCCGAGGAAATGCCATGCATGGCAACCATCTCTAACTGCAGAGACAGGACAACAGCTTGTCTTCTCGCGTTCTGAAGGTACATGGCATTTGTTTATATCTTTACATAGGTATTATACTACTTAAAATTATATGCTCAACATCGAAAAGTATGCAGTGCCTCGAGTTTGACTTCCTCTGCTTTAAGGGACCGTCATTACTCTTACGCAATATCTGGTGACTATCAGGTCTCCACATCAGTGTAAATCCTCAAAAACTCTTTCTTAAATGACATTGACAGACTGACCTTTGAAGTTTTCAGGACTGCAACAGGATTTCAGCCGAAGGGAATTTCACAGCTGGAGTTGTAAAACCTACTTACTTTCAACTGCCACACAGTATATATTCGAGTTCTATTTTTCTAGCATATCAGATGCTGATAAAAAGATGGAGTTCTCATAATGCTCATTGAGTTTTATGTGTTGAGCAAAAGGGCACTACATTATCATTTTTAACTGTGAATGCCAAAACATTCCAAATGAAAGTCCAATATGATTTTTTTTATGGGATGCTCACACATGTCTCAGCTTCATCTGTCTTGGGAGTTTATCAGCACACATCATAAAATATTCCCTAGTGGGCACTAATGCCAATCTAATGGTGCCCGTGGTGCACAAGGTGGTAATGTTCATGGTGCAATATTAGAATACTGTTTAGGGAACAGCTAGATACATAAAGTTTAATTAATTGGAGAACAAACTTCTCAAGCTCTAAACAATTTAATTCTTTGCTGGCTAGCAGTGTAATAACTGCTTTCCAAGCAGCACACTCTGAGGGAGGCCATGCAGGTGATGACAGTGACAATGAACACAGCCTCTCAGAATTTCTGGAGCCTTGAACTGCCCGCCCTGAGCAATAATTCCCTGTCCCTTGCCCCCACCACTTACACTCCTTCCCTCTCCTGTGTCCTGTGCCCATTCAAGCCTACTCTTTAGGAACTATTTGCTGTCCACGCCACCCACCCTTCACTACCAGGCATTTATTGAGCACCTACTGTATGCCAGCAACCTGGTTCCTGACTTCTTGGAGTTTACAGAACAGCACTGGTCCTCTTGAGTCCTGCCCCTGGTCGCTGCTCGCCTTCCCCTTCCTGCATCCATAACCAGGCCTGATGGACACGGTGCAGTCTTCCTGGTCACATGGAGAACAGATGATCTTGCACAGCTGCTCTGAGCCTGAAGCACCTCAGACTGCAGGCTTGAGTCCCCTCCCTGCTCACAACTGCCCAGCCTGCAGACCAGGCAGGACCCCAGAGGGATTGACATGGTCTCCAGTCCCAAGGGAGCTGGGCTGCCCTCCCATTTCCAAGTCAGGGCCCAGCTGCCCTCTTCAAAACTCTGAGCTTCCATGGAGGTAGAGCAGCAACCCAAGAGCAGGGAGGCTCCCTTGAGACCTTTGCTACCCCAGCTGAAGTCGTTCAGTGGGTTATTTCTTTTATGCAGTACTCAGTAAAACTGTTTGCAATTCTGAAGTATACCAAAAAGCTGATGAGGTTAACTGGGTTCGCCCAGCCTGTAGGACAATTTTACACCAGTTAGAAAAAGTGGAAGGCTCTCCGCTGAGCAGACAAATTAGAAGCATGTGCGCTGGGGCGCCTAGGTGGCTCAGTAGGTTAGCATCTGCTCCCGGCTCAGGGCATGATCCCAGCGTCCTGGGATCGAGCCCCGTGTCCGACCCCCTGCTCGGCTTCTCCCTCTGCCTCTCCCTCTGCTGGTGCAAGCACTCTCTCTCTCAAATAAATAAATGAAATCATAAAAAGAAAGAAAGAAAGAAAGAAAGCAGCATCACAGACACAGAGCCAGGCATCCCATGGGCCGGGCTTCAGCCCGCACTCTCCCCCCAGGAGGTGCCTTCTGCAGCGCAGGAACCACACCCGCGTGGCTGGCAGCCCTGGTTTCTCTCAGTTTAGGAGGAACGTGACTCTGGTGGACAGACTGGGTTCCAGAAGCGCTGGGCTCTCTCAACCTCAGCAGGGCGCTCTTCCACACGCAACCCCTACACGTCCAGCTCTCATTCAGTCTCAACTGCCACGTCACCGTGCGGGGGTGGGGGTTACCAGACATGCCCGTCTTGGTTTTAGTGGTTTTCCACGAGATCCTGTGGCATCCCGGGCTTACCTCTGCCGCAGCCCCCAGTACATTCTATGGCAATGGTTAGTCTGCCTCATGCTTGTCACGTGAACCCGAAAACAGGGAACATTTTACTTAATTTTGCTCCCACGTCCTGGTTGGCATCACTCTCAGCTGATGAACTTGCATCTTATTTGAAAAAAGAGAGAAAATTAGAACAGAACTGTTACATGCCTCCATGACCAAATCTACCACCCCCCTGCATCTGTGCTATGCACTCTGCCTTTTCTCCTGATACCATGACACAATGGCCCTTGTGCTTATCTGTGGCCCACCCTGTCATCTACTCCAGGATAATCATTTCCAAATCGCCTCCGCCTTATGAATCATTGGTTTTTCTCTCTAAACTGCATTATCCCCATCAGAACAATACTATGCTGTAGCATTACATCTTACTAAAAATATCTCTTTCCAACTACTGCCCAATTTCTCAGTTCCATTTTATAGCAAAATTACTTTAAAGAATTGCCCAGATTCTACCTTTTCCATTCTCTCTTGTGCCAACTCTAACCAGGCTTTCCCCCAACCCTGCCACTCCACCAACACTGCTCTCATCCAGGCCACTCCATGTTGCCAAGTCCAACGGTCCATTCTCTGTCCTCATTTACTGATCTAAGCATCATTGGTTGGAGGTGATGACCCTCCTTCTGGAAACACTTTGTTCATTTGACTTCCAGATCCTTATCTCCTGTCCTCCCTCACTGGAAGCTACCTTTTAGACACCTGCTGGAGCATCCCCATCTTCCTAGCTTCCAAATACCTGAGCACCTCAAGGCTGAGTCCTTAGTGTTTTCCTCTATCCAGACTCACACCCTCTGTGACTTTGTCCTGCCTCAGGGCTTTAAATATAAACTACAGTCGACCCTTGAGCAACTTGGGTTTAAATTGCATAGATCCATTTACACAGATTTTTTTTGTTGATAAATTCAATACTGTAACTGTATTTTCTCTTCCTTACAATTTCCTCAGTAACATTTTCTTTTGCTTACTTTATTGTAAGAATACAGCACATAATACATACAACATATAAAACATGGGTTAATCGACTGTTTATGTCATTAGTAAGGCTTCCAGTCAACAGTAGGCTATGAGCAGTTAAGCCTCCTGAGTAGTTAAGTTGGGGAGGCAGAAGTTACACACACATTTCCAACTGTGTTGTCAAGAGTCCATAACCCCAGTGTTATTCAAGGGTCAATGGTACAGCTGGTGATTCTCAAAGTTTTATCTCAAGCCCAGAACTGGGAATTCTGGGATTATATTCCCAAATGCTGAATTCTGGGATTATGTTCCCAAATGCTTACTCAATACCTTCACTGGGATTTCTAACAGGCATCTCTAACTTAACATGACCAAAATTAAACTCTTGATTTTTTTTTTTACCCCAAACCTATTCTTGCATTCTCCCATTTCCATAACTGGTACCTCTATGTTTCCAGTGTTTGGTCCCAAACATCATTAACTCTTTTCTCACCTCACCTCCAGTCTACCAGAAATCCTGTTGGTTCTTCCTTCAAAGTGCATCCAGAATCTGAAGATTTCTCATCAATTTCACCACTACCTATCACGAGTCACTATTCCATATCACTTAGACCCTTTCTTCTCAGGACATGGTGGAGTGGCAGCACCAGCTTGCTTGGATGCTTGTTAGAAATACAAGATCTCAGTCTCACATCAGACAAAATAAGTTGGAACTGCATCTTATCTGGTCCCTAGGTAGTCCATTTGTTCATTAAAGTTAGAAATGTTCTGATTTAGGCTAGTGCAGCAGCCTACTAATTGTCTTTCTTCTATCCCTGTGCCTCTTAATTCTATTTTTCATATAGCACTCAGAATGAGTCAGGATACCACTCAATTGTCCCAAACCTGGTGATGGCTTTCCCATAGCTAATGTCCTCATTATGGGTCAGAAGCTTCCCTTTGATATGCACTTTCATCCCCCTACCTCTTCTGACCTCATCTCCTACTCTCCCTTTGATCACTCACTCCAGCTACAGGGGCCTCCCTGCTGTTCCACCCACTTGCAAGCACTTGCGAGCTGCAGGACCTTTGCACTTGCTACCTGAAACTTCTTCCCCTGGATATGGCCAACTTGTTCCTTCATTCAGATCTCTACTTAAATGTCACCTTATTATTAGTGAGGACTTTCATGACATCCTAAATAAAATAGCATCCTTCCATCACACTTTCACCCTTTTCCCTGCCTTATTTTTCTGCATATTTCTTCATATCAAACACTCATTTGCTTATTGTCTGTCTCTCCTCAGTAGAATGTAAGTTCCAGGAGGCCAGGGACTTCTGCTATTATATTACTTGCTATTAGAATGGTGCATGGTGCAGAGCGATTGCTCCTGAGATAATGACTAAGCGAACAGATGGATCTCTAGGGTTTTGTTGGATATGAGGTTCATCTTATAAGAACAATAACATTTGTTAAATGCCTGGGGGGTTCTTAGGTAAAGTGCCTTGAGTAGACCATGGTTTAGGAGAAGGCTTTAGAAAGTAGGGATTTCTTTGGAGCTTCGACAACCGATACATTTTCTACATGTCCTTCCTCAGTGGTCTGAGGACTGGAGGCAGGGGATGGAGACCCAGCGCCGACAGGGGAGGTAGGAGGGCTGGAACATACGTGCTGTGTGTGTGACATCGGCCCAGCCTGGCTGGAGGGGTTACTCCTGGAAATGTGCTAAAAACGTGGCCCAGATCCAGTGTCAGTTTTCTCAAGCGCTTACCTCATCTCCTGGCTGACTTTCCCTTCATTTTATGCTTAGCTGCAGGTTTGCATTCAGCAGCCTCCAGCTGAGTTTTTGTAATCAACAGTGAAGGTGAAAAGTCTGAGCAAACCTTCAGTGACAGCGGAAGGCAGGCTAATGGCACCCGGGCTACCGGAAGGTCGGCAGTAACTGGAGGAGTCAGCTGGACGGTAAATAAGCCCCAGGTCTGCGACGTCCGAGAGCTGCCGGGGGTGCAACCTCTTTGCCTCGTAGTCACACAAAGGACCAATGTCAAAGATGCCCTTAAAAAGCTTAACAAGGAACTGTATCCTAAAAGCATCTTAATCTTTGATGTTTATTAACCTGGAGGGAAGTAAATGCCTCGGAGGATTGTATCTAACCAGGCAGAGATATTTGGCAGGCTTACCTACATAGGAGTGGAGTTCCTCTTTGGAAGGAACTTGCTTTTTTGAAAAATATTTTCCCTGGTGCTTGTAACAAGCTGGCTTCAATTGCACATTACTGTTTTCAATTACCTTCTGAGTTTCTTAGCGTCACATAGCGCTATTGCTGGAAAAGGCCTGAGAAGCGTTCTTTCCCAAACCCCTTTGTAGTTCCATAGATAAGGTAACGGGAGTTCAGTGGAATGAAGCAACTTGCCCTGCAGCTGTAAGCAGCAATGTTGGGAACGCTCTTGGGCCTTCCCCTGGGTCCTCCGGCCCATCTGCCACCCCAGTGGTAAAGCCACACTTCGACAGTCCACGCAGTGGTCTTGCATCAAAGCCAAGGCCAAAGTAAAATCTTCAACACCTGCCACCTTCCCTCATTATCCCCCACCTCCAGCCCCAATACCCTGCCCACCTCTTTGGCCCCAGACCAGCCTTCCTTTCCTGGCTCCTGATCCAGGTACAAAGCCTGGAATTCCATCCCTGCCCCTCTAAGTTTCACTCTGGGAAAATAACTTCATATCTCAGTTCCTCCTCTGAAAAATGGGGGCCAATGCTACTAACCTTGTAGGATTGCTGTGACATCCATAAGAAATGGAGTGATTTCCTATAACCTTGTGGATAAATACTAAGTAGCTACTTCCCTCCCCCATGGAGTCCCACTTCTTTATTGTCTTGCCTTCAGCTTTTATTAAGGAGGAAATGACTCTAGTGAAAGGCCTCGGAGCCCCTGTTTGACCTTGAGCAAGGTGCAAATAAGTGATAAAGCTTAATGCGTTCAAATAGCCAGAGGCTGTTTGGACCCTTCAGCAGAAAGAGCGGGCTGTCTCATCCTAAAGCCCTGGAGCCAGAGGTCCTGAGCTGCCTCTGGCCTGCTGGTAACTGCCCACTCTTTGAAAGAGAAATC